AGAGAAAACAGTAAAAACTAACTAAAGTATCTCATATTAAAAGAACACAGTAACCGCCAGGAGTCGGCTAAGCTGTCAAATAGGTATTACAATAAACTGTGGGTTTTTAAAAAAAAATTCCATTAAATTTATTATTTCAGTGGAGAAGATCAGTGATACATAGAAGCTATCTCTCTGACATAAGCTTCTGCTTCTGAGCATCTAAATTACATTAGGTTTGGTGCTTGAGGTTCTTTTTTTTGAGAAATTACGTATTTAAACATTCTGCTTGCAGTGCAACAGCAATGTAAACCCTTCCTTTATTTTTTTAGCAGATGCTGTGCATCACTCACATTCAACTTATCCATTAACTGTGAACTGTTCATGTATCTTAGTGTGGTATCAATGCCTCTATGGCAAGGCTAAACAGCATTTCAGAAACAATGATATCCCCCAAGCCCACTGTAGTTTCCGAAGCACAGATTAAGCACGGTATTCTGCTCAACAAGCTCATCACTGTTAAGTAACTCATCAGAAAATAAAGAGGGAATTATCAAATGGGAATTGCCAAGTAATTAGTTCTCTGAAGCAGATGACATACAACTGTTAAAGGGAGGGGCTTCTCTGCTAGTCATATGTCAAAGTAGAGCCTCCTAATCTGTAAATAAAAATTCAGTACATATGATTAGTGTGATGGGTTTTTAACTGCTAGTGGTACATGGAGAATAAAGTTACAACTTCTTCTATCATAATAACCTACTAGGATTTTTTTCCCATTGAGTATACTGAATTTTCAAACCATTCTGGATCTACTTGCTGTCAGACTACCTTGGGAAAGCTATGAATACAGCACAGTACCAAGCAGCAAACGTGTTCAGGGGCTACGGAAGAGGAGAAATGCTTTTATTATTATATACATTTGAAAATATCACTTTCTAGTCAGCTGCTACACACGCCATCGAAAAGGAACCACACCAATGAGAAAATACTCAGTAGCACAAAATTTCTGAGCACAGTAAAGGAGGATTAAGCCTGCTTTTTGTAATTATCCTTCTCCATTAAAGCCTGACTTTCTTTCAAGTACCTGGCCTCACAGAAATGTTAGCTGTACAAAACTACAAAGGCCTTCACACGTGGGTACCTGACAAGCAAAATGTGGTAACGGTCACAACCACACTCCAATACAAGTGAGGAACACTTTGACATTTGTACTTTTTATAGAACAAGGAGTGACTCAATAAATCCTGAAGCCAGGTTTACAGCTAGTTCCAAAATAAGTAACTGATGAGAAAATAAAGAGGCAATTATCAAATTTAGGGTTTGCCCCTATCACAGCGTCTCAACATGAGAAACCCCTCAGCCAACATATTTAAATCCAGATGCTGCCACCTGGGCTTATTTCAGACCAAAATTATACCCCTAGTAATGAGGGCTAACTTTCTTTCAAAAGCACAGCCCTGGTTTCAAGGCAAAGCAAACCCCACCAGCACACCCCTGCCCAACACACACAGCCAAGGGCAGCAGGAGGGCACACACAGATGCTCAGGCTTGCACACAACTGCACATCACATCCAGACACCTCACCACTTCTCGCCCCCAGCACATGGAGCTTCTCCATTTACTCCCACTAACATCCACTTTTAAAAGAATGCTAACAAGTTGCAGAGTATGGAACAGCAAATCTCATTCCATTTGCAAATACACCTTTTAAAAACACCAAGTTGGAAGGCGAATCAAACCTCGGATAGTGCCTTATATCACATTATGAATGTCAGCCTTGTGTTTTTATGTAGGCATAACACTACACTCCATACCATTTACACTTCAGACCATGTTATGAAACTTTGTATCAGTCAGACAGCAGGCCTTCAGTATCTGCAGTAGGAACAACAGGGGAAAACCCTGCTGAAAAGTTATGGCTGAGGTGAGGGGACCACAAAACCTTATTTTTAAGACATCCATCAGCATTCACATCACTTAATTTAATTTCAGTTGCTCACACATAAACAATTTTAAAAAATTAAATTATTCCTAATTACTATCCAGTTATACCTAGTTCACAGCATTTCACTTGTGCTGTTAACGCCATTAGCAATCTCCATTGCCTACCTACAGATATTGCAGACCTTCATAAACAGCATGAGGGAAGAAATAAAACCAACTATGATAAAAGGACCGTGACATGAAAACTAAAAAGCCACCACTGCACACAGTAATATAGAGACAGATTAGTTCTTTTTATGTTCACTGTTAAGTATTTTAAAAGGGCAGACTGTTGCCTATTTACAGAGAGAGGTAGCCAGAAGTCTGCATAAAACAGAAATTATATCTTATGTAAAAAATAAGCTATATTAGGTAGCATACAGACATACTTACTGAAAATTCAGCCAAAAAAAATTTCTTACAAAGGGGCTGCAGCTGTAAATTCATCCCAGTAGTATGATTAATAAATATCAAGTAACTGGACAACAGAAAAGATTAAAAATAACTTTTTGATTGTTAAAATGTCCAGTATCTCATGTAAAATCCTCTCAAGACAACTGTATAAAAGAAAGCATTGAGTCATTTGCCTACGTGGAGGGAGGCAGTGCATGCTCTGAACAAATAACAATAACTCTGTGTTTCGGAGAGCAGACTAAAATTAACTAAAAATAAAAAAGAAAGGAAAGCTGTATCTATTTATTTATTTTTGTTTTACTTTTACTAATACCCATGTCCTTACCCAGGCAAGATGCTTAGCTGGCTCTGCAGAAAATGCTGCTTGAATTAGAAGGGTAAGCACACCTGGAGAGCTGACACAGTAAAGACGTTACCCACTGAAGCCACACAATTCCTCACGCAAGTGAAGCCATGAACGCATGTGCAGGGACATTAGGCCTCAAGTATGGCTTCTGAGATGTATTTTCGATGCCTTCAAAAGTGTCCCATGTTCTGTCCCTCTGACAGACTCCAAGGTCATAACCCAGGTCTGCCTAAAATGGAGCAAGGCAGTTGCCACCTTCACCCCAAAACAAATGCAAAAGCCAGGAAGATGATGAGTGTGAGTACGAAGTGCTCTATCTGTGGCTGCTCCCTGCACAGTGCCAGGCCATGTTTCTTTCACATGTTACTACGGTGAGCTCTTGCCTTTTTCCTCCAGTAACAGAGAGAAGTTTGTAAGCAGGCAGTGTCTATCCCAATAACTTTTATTTCACTTATTTAGTTATAAAGTGGGCCTGATTTTGATTGTTCCATAGAAAAAAATGGGAATTAATGAGGTCAACAGAGGTACCCCCAACTCAGTAACTAAATTGTCCAACAATAAGAAGTTAAACCAAATCTAACCTAATCTAAGGTCCACAAACACAATACTAAACTTCAAGCTGAGCTAGTATAGGAAAAACAGCATCTTAGTACTATACTCCTATCATGTCTCTGCATCAGACTTAACTAGGTTAAGTCTAAAAATCTAAATCTAAAATGTTTATTTAACATTGAATATACTGACTCTCATGTAATTGCAGAAAATACCAGATGCTAAAATATCCAAGCTGACTTAGCAATACATTGTGGCTAACACAATCTGATTATTCATAGGACTTGACTAATGCCCTATAAACAACTACTTCTTCTAATCAAGAGATGTAAGTTTTTCCAGCAGTAATCACTTTTTCAAATAAAACATTTCTCTACAACCCAAGTTAATCTTAAAAAATAAAAAATTAAATGCTTTGTGTAACTGATAACACCATAACAAAAAACTTCTATTTGACGTCCCAAGTCAATAGCTGCTACCAATTCCATTTTCTTCCAAAGTGGAAAGACAAATTGTACCAGCACATGAGCACTTTGTGTGGTTTTTTTACTCTCAAGAAACTCTCATTGCTCTGAAGTTACAGTGGTTACCACTCACCCTACCATTCAAGCTCATCTGGAAATCTTAACAGGCCTGTCCTTGCATGTAACTACTTGCCCAGGCAACTTCCCTCTAAAACACAGCACCCTTCCCCACAGCCACAATAAAATGTAAATGATGTACTGCATACTATTCTATGACATGCTGTATACATTAAGAAGTTATTCTGCAATGGAGACTTTCTGAGCAGCCCTGCATAAATAAGAATGCTATTATAATTAAGCTTTCAGATTATAAATTTAAAAAAGAAATCCTTTGGTTTTCTGCAAGCAATCACTATATTTCATTTTCTTTTATTCAAAGACACAGGCAATTTTATTATGACCCTTTATCTTTTTTTTCTTAAAGCATTAGCAGCATTGCCAATCCCAAGCACTTAAAAATCATAGAATAGGTCCAAAAAACCAGGCTGGCTTAATGACAATCAGATTAAAGAAATAAAATAAAAATTTATGTTCTTTTTATTGGCAGTATGATTGTTGAGTCTTGGGACTTGGTCTTTTCAAGTTATTTTCCACAACCATATGGGAAGGAGAGAGAGAGGAAAGGGACAGCAGCAGACTGATACATGTGCACTTTTACATCTTGTCTGCCAACAGCATTTCAGGGAGGAAAATCAGAAGAACTGAAAGCATTCCTCAAAATAGACCAAAAGACACACAGATACATCAGTAGTAACTAATTATCCTGGGAACGATTCTAATGCTGGATAAAGTTTAATGCACAGAAAAAACTCAAGACTGCGGAAAAGCCAAGTAGGTGACAAGCAACAGGAATCCTGAAAATGATCATAAAAGTGAAGGAAGGATTTATTCAATTTTACACATGGCATTTTATTCAAGAATCAAAGTCTGCCAACTTTTCCATTCATACTAACATCTTCCAGTAACTGAATACACTCTGACCTCAGGTGAGCATAAAACCAGCCATCTGGAACCCACCTGTTCTGTAAGTCAAAGGAATGTTTCTGAGCAGAGTTTCTCAAGGACCTCTACTGCCAGGCAAGGGAAGTACAAACCTATCAGGTAGGTAATTACACAGACACCAGGAAGGTGTGCATTTTGCCTAAAGCCCAGAGCAGACAGTGTACACTTGCTGAAGGAAATAAAAAGCATTGCATTCTCACCTTATTGGCAGTGCATAACTGTACGGTGAAGAAAAGAATGATGGTGGTCACTGTCCTACGGGGTCAAGAATAAATTCACAGCTTGTATTGCTTGCCCATCTGGCTTGGCCTGCAATGTGACTGTTGATCCAGGAGTTGAGGAGATGGAAACCAAAATAAAGAGAAACAAAAACACATTTAAGAGTCAACATTTACAGTAATTTACAACACACTAAGATATCCCAGTGAAGACTGAGAGAGGCTGCTTTTACTATTACTCAAGCACAAATAAACCATAGATTTAATTCTGCAGACAGAGCTCATACAGTAGAGAGCAGAGCCCATTTATTCAGAGTGCTCTTTTCCTAAATGTGATCTTAATGAGGTGAAGAATCATAAGCAAGTGGAGATGACTGTCTTCACTGCCAACAGAATATATTTTATTTGAGAAGCAGTAGCATCCTGAAAACATAGTGCTGCAATTACTACTACTAGGTGAAAAATAATCACCTATTGGAATGTGACTTTACCTTCTACACTATTTTGTCATTAAAGGTGGCATGCTACAGTTGATGCTTATTACTGTAAATTCCTAAATAATATAAACTAAGAAAATCTTTAACAATGTGGTTTTTTAATTTTTTCTGTGATTTTGCTCAGCAAAATCATGAAGAGCCAGCACTGAACTTCTGCTGACATCACCTACCAAAATACGTTTGGGGTTTTCACTTGGAGTCTCACCAAATATTTTTATCACTCTTGGTACAATAAAAGGATTTAGTGGGACCATTTCTCCCTCACTGAGAATCATTTCTGTTGTTTCAGTTTATGAGCATACTTACTTGTTCCTATTTAGGGAAGGATTTACACGCATACTTAACTCTAGATAGGTTCTTTAATCAATCCTCATTCAGCAAAACCCTCACTGGGACATCTACTAAAGTAACTTCGCAGACTGGGACCAATGCACACATACAGATTTGCATGTGTTGTACAACCACTTCAGACTACAGCTTTGAGAGAGAAAAAAGCCATGAAGCATTACATTCTCAACAGATGCACTGAGATCAAAAAGGAGTTATGGTCATGGATCTAGTTTTTGTCTTTTTGCAAAAATCAGGAATCTGCAAAGTTTCTTACATTTTAAAATGTCAGTCATGCATCACCTCAGCCAAAAATATGTAGAAATCTTCAACTTTCTCACATAAAGAATGTGAACCACTGAATAAGACTCCAAAATACAGTGCCTTCAACTGAATACCTATTTATTTATTTATCACATTTGGAGTCTTGCTTAAAAGTAAAATGAAAGGTTGAGGACAGGATTTTCACTTTGCAAAGCTTAGGCTATGGAAGTCACTGGAATATAGCAAGTCAGTTCTTTGCAAAGAAATACTTACCTGTGCCAAGCCTGCCATACTTCTCTTTCTTGTTCTAATTATATCTTTATCTGTTAATACAGAGTTGGTTAAAGCAGTCTCAGAAGAGACCTACAACTAAATCTGTCATCTGCACTCTCTGAATTGTACACACCGTACCTGCACAGTTCTCCAGAACAACGAAATCACTCACAACCTGCGTGGTTATAGCTGAGGCTGTCACACAGCCTGACTTCTCTCAAGCATCACCAGCGGCAGCTGCCTCACATGCTGGAGTAGGTTTGCAGCCAGCCAGTGCTTCAGACCATCTATGCAATCCTGACAAGCACTTCCTTTACAGCCTGCCACACTTTTTTTTTTAATTGCATTTCCCCCTCAATTAGTACATCACAACAAAAGCAGTGTGCATATGAACAATGACAATGATAATCCTGACTGTCATCTGCTAAGATGTGCTGCTAAACCTCTGCAAGGGGAAAAATTAGGCCTTGATTTTGTTTTACTAGACATGTTACTAAGACAATTACTTTAAAATTCTAATGTTTAAATTCTTAGTTGCTTTTCAGGTAACTGCATTCAAGTGTCTATTTTCTTAATTAATGGGAAACTAGGCCACTGGATCTATTACATAAAAAAATTTTGTTAAGTGAAATTCCATGTCTCTTGTAAATGTCTTTTAAAACAAAACTAGTTTTTTCAGCCTTTCTAAATAGATTAAATCAGGCTAGAAAAGCAAAGTTGCACTGTTTATTTTTCAGAAAAGTTTTTAAACTATGTATATATGGCCTTTCTGAAAATAATTGCTTTCTAACACTCTTAGTCACACAGGTAATTTGTCTTACAATAAAAGATGTATAAGCAGCACGCAGCACACAAAGGCTCACACTACAGGAGTTGTCCTGCTCATGACTATTCCGCTCTCTCCAGCCAGTCCTCCTAACAAGTTCTTCTACTTCAAGACACCTCCTCAGAATGGAGGCGGCCGCATGGAGCAGAGGATATTCCCTCCTAGCCAGAAGGGCAAGTTAGTGGAGGCACTGAGAAGTTGCACTTCAGTGCAGGAAATTGCCTGCAAATACCCTGTCCCCTCACCCCTCCAAGAAGAAACTCTCCTGCTCGGCAAGCAGGCTGAGACCGGCAAACTCATCACACCAAACCCAAGACTGCCACTGCCTGTCACCACAACAGCTGAACCACCAACAGGCATTTCTCATTGCCTCCTCCTCCAGCTCCAGTGCTTTACCATCAGAGTGATTAAAATATCTATTTTACTGAGATATTTCTGGATTGCTTTATGTTCCAGCCTGGTACTACAAACACTCAGGAGCTGTGGGTGCTGATGATTTCTCATCACTGAGACACAAAATCCTCCGGGCCAGGTTCAATATTAGTGTCAGTGCACCCAAGATTAGTGACTGGAGTAGGGGTGTTACCCACTTCTATAGACACTTAATGCAGCTCCTTAATCAGACAAATCCTATTTAAGCCCACAGTGGTTTTTGCCATGAAAAGCAATATAGAGAAAATAACAGCGATATGCAGCAGATCACTTTATGAGCTCGGTTACTCTACTACATGCCTGGATTAAATCCAATAAATGGAGTTATTTGAGATATACACCCATGTAAGTGGCTCACAATCCCATCCCCTGGAGTTACTCCAGATTTATGACATTAGAACACAGTGCCAAATTTAGTGCTTTTAAAAAATTATACCTATATTTATGGAAGAATGGCTTAAAAGAGTCATGTTCAAACAATGAGAATGAAGACAAATATACATTGCTTGGTGAAACGTTTTTAAGAGCAACATGCAGTTCAAAGCTAATTATATTACAAATCCTTTGACGCTATTATAAACTGTGTCAGAAAGACTGCTGCTCCATGGCTATAATATTTTGATGAGCACAAATGCAAAATATACACCCATACTAGAAACAAAGTGTTTGCTGGGGCAAAAATTGTTTTTATCATGAGAAATTGCAGTCAGCTTTCACCTAACACACAAAAGGGCCTAGACCTTGCTAAGATCTATGAGGAGGCTTTAACAAATCCGGAGTGACAATACTGACATCAAGTATCAGCAATTTTCATCTTACTGGCCACAGGGTGTAAAGTACAGTACAGGAGTGGAGACTAACGAGCCTGTGGCCTATGATGAGAAAGCTGGAATGGGAACTGTTAGCAAACACTGCTACAGCCACCAAACAGTTAAACCAGCCGGCCGGGGGGGGGATGGGGGGGAAGAGAAGGAAAAAAAAAAAAAAAAAGGAAAACTCTGAAGAAACTTTCATGCAAGCTTGTATAAGCCAAAAGCATTTTTACAAAGTACCACACCTTCATTAATTTGCTAATAATACACACAAGTGGAACTGACGATTTGGCTGACCTGCTAAGTGTGCCACGTACGGTCCCATCTCCCTTACACTCCAGTGGGCAAAGAATACCCTTTCCGAGAAGTTTGGCCATTAGGAACCCACCACCGGCATCTTTCAATTTTCGGAAAGCCCGAGGCGCCGGCCGCGCCGGCCGTACGCCACCAACGCGGCACACGCAGGGCTGGCGGTAGCCCGCTGGGTCGCCCGGCAGCCACACACGCACCTGGCTGGCCGGTGAATACGGTGAATCCCGTCTGTTACCATGGCAGCCTGATCTAATTACATGACTGATCAGGGCTGGAGTAAGCGCGCTGAAAGCCTGCACCGCTGACATGTCGCTACATGATGAGAGAGACAGACAGACAGCCGAGCACGGAGGAAAACCTATCGACCTCTGCCTTATGTAAAAAGTGAGGAGATTACAGCCACCCTTTCAAAATAGCTGCTACCCGTAAAATACCGGGACAGTTTTACGAACAAATTAGGTGCAGTAATGTACAATTACTACTATTATCCTGCAGCATCACAAAAATAACTACGGCGCAATATTTTCCCTGGCCATTCTCAATTTCCGTCTCCCCCATTCATAACCCTTGCTCCATATGATAAAACTGCACCGTCTCTATCACTCGAACAGAAATAGATTAACATGAAGCCGGGATTTTCCTTTAGGGGACGGTTTCATTCGAAACTGAAATTAAAAGTCCTTGACTTATCAGTGTGTCAGCAGAGTAACTCACTATGCTCGACCGTATCTGACGCGTGAAGTAACCATTACTGCATAAAATACATAACCATGAGCGTTAAAGGTTAAAGTGTAAGCTGCTTTATAAAATATGAATTTCTTTACCATATGAAAGAGAAAAGGTATTCGGCAAAGGTCATTTACCTGCACACCCTTCCCGTTCTGTACACAGAAATAATTTGTAAAGAGGAAGGTTTTACAAACCTAGATTTCTTCGTCTGGTTATAAAAGAAATGCCTAAAATTTTTCCCCAATTCTATCTGGAGTTCGGGCTCATAGGGGAGAGATGCTGCTCGGAGGAGTCCCTATTACACAGCATACGGTAAACAAAATAAAAATAGCCTGTCGTTCTCGTTGTCTACACAGTGCATTATATAACGGGCTTCCGACTTGTTTTCTTTTCTATTATTACTCTTCAGTAATTCCTCCTCTTCAATAACATGTAAATCGCTCCCAATTCTGTCATTTTATTATTATCGCTATTACTATTACAGTAGGAGCTAACGCTTTTCCAGCACGCTTTAATTTAGACTTTAATATATTCTCAGGAATCACACTGACGGATTCAGCACCCACAACCGTACACGGGGTCATTTATTTGTTTTTCTGCCGGTAAATTACGATGCCTTAGGGTTAAAAAACAGGGAAAAAAACCAACCAACCAACAAAAAAAAAAAAAAAAAACAAAAAAACCAACTAACAAATAACCAAAAACCAAACCACCAACAACCAACCCCAAACCCCCGCAACCCAACCACCCCCACCCGACCCAAGCAAACCCAGAGGCAGCGGGGGATCGGTGAGCGGCAGGAGGGCAGCGGCCGCCACTGGAGGCGAGCGGAGCCCCGGGGCGGCGGCGGGGAACCCCTGCCCCGCTTCCCCTCGGAAGCCGCAGGCCAGACCCCACAGCCGCGGGCGGGCAGCGGGGCGGCGGCACCCCGCCGCCCCCCTTCCCCCATCCCTCCCGCCCCGTCCCTCCCGGCAGTACCGGGTAGCGTCTGCAGCCGGCCTGGGCCCTGAGTGAAGCGAAGCGGGGCTGCTGCCGGGCACATCCCAGCGCCAGCGCCGCCTCCCCCGCCGCCGCCGCCGCCTCCTCCTCGCTTCATTCACCCTCCGGCAGCCGCCCAGCCCCGTACTACATACGCCGTGCGGTGGCGGCGACCGGCCCTGCCGGCGACCGGCCCCGCGCTGCGCCCCGCCGGGTCCGCCCGGCTTACGAGCCCCGCACGGCCCCCCCGCACCGCGCCGGCCGCGCACGCACACACACGCACAGCAACCCACACACACACCCGGCACCGCACCCCCCGCACACACGCACCGGCACCGCACACACACACAAACATACAAACAGCGGAGCCCCCACGCTCACACACATACACACTCACACACCTCACACACACACCGCACACACCGGCACCGCACACCGCCCCCCCCGCACATACGAGCACACGCGCAGTCTCACACACCCCGAGGCCGCCGCCGCACCGGGGGCAGCCGCGACTCGCAAAATGTCCACCGTCCCCGCGGCCACCCACACCCCGCCCGGGCCGGGGGGAAGCGGGAGGGAGGGGGGGGGGGAAGAAGGAGGAAGGAGCGGTGCGGGGGGGCAGGGCTGTACGAGCGGCTATCGCCGCGGGGCCGCCTCGGCCCCCCGCTTCCTCCCGTGTCCCGCATCCCCACTCTGTTCCCTGCGCGGCGTCCTCGGCCATTTCGCGGCCGCCCCCCTCTCCCTCCCTGCCGCCCTCTCCCCTCAGGGCCGAGCCCGCGGCGGCAGCGCCTGCGGGCCGGGCCGGGCCGGGGGCGGCCGCAGCGAGGCAGGCTGCAGCCCCGTGGCAGGGTGGGCAGCGCGCTCCCCTGCCTCCTCAGCCCCGTGTTTTTCCAGCTGGAAATCGCCGGCGGTTTGCAGTCTAAACAAGGGAAGAAGCCGCGGGCGGGTGGGGGGGGAGGCAGAAAGCAGAGGAGGAAAAAAAAGCCACTTACTGTAAAGTGTCAGTGGAGGTGGGGTTGGCGGGGGTGGGGGGGTCAGAGAGAGACTCGCACACAAATGTCTTCCTAGCTGATCACGGGGCTTGGGTCTGCTTTTTGTTTGTTTGGCTTTTTTCCTTCCCCCTGCAGTGACACAGGTCCGGGATGTCTCCACCACTGTAGTAGAAATGATGTCTGCGGTACAGCGCTCGCTCCCTCTCCGCTCTCCAGCATGTAAATGGGTAATAGAAGCCAAATATGGAGCAGTTGGCTGCCTCTGCAACAGCTCAAGGATCCTACTTCATGCAAAAGGCGGGGGGGGGGAGGGAAGGGGGGGGGGGGAAGGGGGGGGAGAGAAGGGAGGAGGAGGAGGCAAGGCAACACTCTGGCAGTCGGCCAAGAGAGCCACACAGATTATTGCATACGCACGGCACCGCCGGGCCAAGGCGGCCTTTAACCCTTTGCGGGCCGCCGCACGCTGCTCGAGGGCGGGGAGGGGGGCTGGGGGCTCGCCTCGACACTTACCTCCTCCTTCCCCTTGTAACACTTCAAAGGCCAGGCTGGCTCTCTGCGGTGGGATTAATCCCTGCGCACGCCAGTGTTCCAGAGAAGTCCCCGCTCCTGTAGCAGGCTGCGTCGCGGGGCTCTCAAATCACTTTGCAGGCGGAAAAAAATGAGATGGGGAGGGGAAAAAGAAAAAAAAAAAAAAAACAACCCAACCCCGAACCTATATTGTTTAAGGGGGAAGAAACAGCTAGCGACGTGTGCTGTCCTTCAGAAAAGGCAGGGTATGCTGGTTTAAAGTATGCATGAAAATCGGTTGCTCAGTCAAGGCTGGTCTGTCTCTCTAAGGGAGGAAATAAAACTGTGCTGGAAACCAGGGAATGCTCTGAAGCAGCCTTTCCGAGAGTCAGAAGAGGGTGATTTTATTTAAGATGCCATATTGCATTTTGCTGTGGCGAACTGTGAAGTGATTTAGAGCAAGAGCCTGCATCCCACTCTCTTTTTCTGAATTAGTTTTATTTATCCGGATCCTTGGCATATGCTTGAGTTGCTTTGTAGAAAGTACCTTCCACTTCATTCAGACCAAAGAGACTCTGACTCATACCATCACTGAACTACAAGACAGGCAGGGCTGAACCACGCATGTTTGGGTACTAACTCCCTCTGGATTCCTCAGCAATGGTTTCATCAAAGATCCTTTTGCATCTCTCCCGGCTGTCTGCAGACCACTGGGAGCCACTCCCGAACTTCCCCCCCGCCCCACCAACTATGGCAACTTACACTCCCCAGTGACGCTGGCACTCCAGTGTCAGCGTGTTACTCTTACTTCCCTCAACGCAGGTGTCTGCAAACTACAGCGATGGGCTAGTAACAGGCACAGATGCAAAACAGAGACCAGAGAAAATATCTTCCTTCTGGACTGTCTCAGTCTGGTCTTCACGTTAAAAAAAAAAAATTTAAACAACCACCCACACCCCCAAAAATCAAGCTACTAAGCTAGGTGCAACTTAAAGAAATAAAACAAATTATTAAAGCAATGAATAGGACAAATGCAGGCAAAGGATGGTGGGATGGTATGCTTGCATGCAACCCAACAGTGGCCCATAAGAAGCCATTCACTCTCTGCTTTGGCACTGGGAAGAGAAGTAGAGCACAGAGGCCCCTCCCCACACCAAGGACGTTGCAAGAAAATGTTGCATAAATACCAAAGGCTGTTACATGCCAGCTCCAAGGAGCTGGATGCTGTGGGGTCCCAGACCTCAGAAAGGCCTGAGGTGTGCACTCTATATAACATGGCCACCCAAATCAAGCTGTTTAATGCAGCTTGTACCAATTTGCCATGACAGTAAGCTCCAAGGTACCAAGTTTCTAGCAGGTATACCTCCTATGTGTCCGTTTTATATTAGCATTAGGTTTTAGCTGCAAATTAAATCTAGCATTAAGAGTCTAGATGCAAAGTACCCTAGGACTCAGCTTGCCATTATGCAGATCAGCAAAGGAGTCCCTTCTATAAAGGACTGTACTGGCTTACTGTAATTGCTAAAGAACGTACTAATAACATTGTAAGCCGCAGCATTCTGGATTTAAGAGTTGATACTGTAATACAGACTAGCTTTAGGAAACATAAGGATCTTTTACCACAGCATCTCCTGTATCTTTAGTTCAGGTTCACTATGAAAATCAACATGATTTTCTGTTCTAGCAGTGATCTGGAGACAGAAGCAGCAACAGGCCAAGATATCTTGACAAATATGCCACTCAGTACTACAAGAGAGTGAATCTAAAGCAGCAAAGCAGACAGCAAAATTGTATTCACCCAGCTAATGTAAGGTTCATTGATTTAATAAAAGGAACCAAGGGAAAGAGACAAAGACTGGAGATTACTGAAAATCAAGTGAAAGCCCTGGAGAAACTGAAAACCCATCATCAAGGTTCAATTCAGAGTACAAGGCATTCTGTCTGCCACCTTTTTTATTCCAGTAGTACAGAGTGTTACCTCAGGAGAAAGGAATCTTTCCTTCTCAAACATTCACCTTGCCAAGAGGTGTGGCACACGCAGAGAAAGAGAAGCCACATTCATGCTGAAGCAAGCTTTGGGCAACTTTCCCTTCTGCAGCAGGCTCATGTAAGAGGCTTGTGTGTTCCACCACTCTGTGGCTATAGTGTTTGCCTCAGGACCCTCATTTTTTGCCACACTATATACTCTAGGCTTTTACATCTTTGTCTATGTTTCTGCTTCAGCGTAGAAAAGAGAGCCCCACAATGTAAGTGCATTGTAAGTTAAAGCAGTAGTGCTTTATTTAGCCAGCAGGCACTTAACCCATGGCTCTGGGAAGTGCCACAACTGCCACCAGCCACGGCAGGTCCATAAGGCACTCTCAGCTCCGTTCTGACTTGATACATGTTGATTGCACTAATAGACGAGGGATGAGGGCACTATGCCTCTACAAACACGGCCTAAAATACAGGATATGCAACCATGTCACAAGATGCCCTTGTGCCTCAGCAGCTTCCCTGCCAAGGGCCTATACTGGGCCTCAATATATTCCCTGCATAAAGGATTCCACAAAATATCGAGGTGCTGATGAAGGCAAGTGAGTGGCACACAAGAACCCACACAGACCCAAGTGTTTTCATTTACTGCTGGTGATGTGCTGAAACTGATAGGACTCCCAGGAGAATATAATCTGACCAAAAGATACTAAACAATTCGACATGCAAGATGCACACTGTCTAGAAGAAACTGTTTTTCAATTCACTAGTTGTAATGTGCCATCTACGCAGCATGTTTGATACAATTAATAGTACTTATAAAAAATGGGAGAATAGGAGGCATAATAAGTTGGATTTTTTTTAACACTAGCATTCAGGGAAATGCAGTGATTGACAGTGTATTGAGTGTGAAAAGTAATCTCACAATTATTGATCGTTACAGTTCAAATCTTCAATCTGTCATAAAATGGCATTGTTGGTCTCATTACAGCCTCTAGTGGACAGTAGTAATCCACCTCACAGACCTGTCATACAATTTGCTCAAATGACAAGCATTATCTTATCAAGGCAGAGGTTACTCTGAGAGAACGGGAACACATAGGTCACTCTGATCCACCAGAAAAAAAGATTTCTGAATACAATCAAAGGTTTGCTGTCACTGCTTGTAAGGTGCCTCACTTTACTGTTCAGGTATAGATAGCATTGGCTTGTAAATAAACAGAGAACTTCTGCTATTAATTTCAGCTTCTGACAGCTTTCATAAAACTAAATTCATCTCAAATATTTTTATAACAGAAAATATTGGTTGCCATGTTTTTGGCTTAAGTAAGATATTTTTAATCCAACTCTGAATCTGCTGACTGTCCAATTCACCTCCCATCTATTTACAGCTCTCTCATGTTCAGATAATTTTTGCTAATGTTGTTATTTTTGTTATTATTTCAGACATATGCAGCTGATTCAAGGTATTTTTACAGCTTTGATAAATGAGAAACTATAGTTTGGATTACACCTTGCTAACTAAGGTATGCTTTCCTCAGGAAAGTTAAAAATTTACACAATCTGAACAATAATGTTTTTGGACTATATCTTTAAATGTCACTTGTGTGAACATAACAAAATATGACTAATGTCTTTCATTTTTGTGCATGCACTTAGAAATGAGTGTATCCCCTGTCAAAACATCCCCTGTTGATGATGTTCTCCAGAACTCTGTGATTATCTTCAGATGCAAGGAAATTAGATTGGTAGACACAGAGAGCCAATGCTGTCTCTTTAAAGCCACAAGTATCTCATGCAA